AAAAAAAAAAAAAAAGCACTGAACTGTGTATTATCAAATTCACCATCATAAAGGAATCTTCCTGCTTAAAAAAGCTGGGCATGACGGTACACATCTCAGCACCTGGGAGGCTGAGACAGAGGATCACCGCAAGTTTGAGGCCAGCCTGGGCTACACAGTGAGACCCTGTCTCAAAAAAAAGAAAAATAAACATGACCCTGACTTAACAAAAGCAAAAGTCCCAATGGTGCTTGCTATGCTTGCTCCCTGGAAAGCTCATTTTGCACACAGAGCGAGAGCCACTGTGAACCAGAACCTACCTACACAGAGCCACATTCAGAAAGGCCCCACGCTTGGCTTGGTGCTCTGCCGTCCCATCTTGGGCTTCCCAGTGGCTTGTGAACAAGGGGCCCCCACAAATTATGCAGCCACTCCTGCTTCCAGCAGAACTGTAATCCTGCAGGGCTGTTCCAGTCACCTCTTTGGAGAGCCCTCCACCTCCCCCAGGGACTGTCACCACCCATCATACGGCTAACCACAGACTCAGCACATTACCATGTACCACCTGTCTTCTCCTCAACACAGCACAGGTCAGAGGACCTAAAGCTCAGGGGCATGAACTTCAAGAGGCACTAGAGAGTCCACACTGTCCTCCAGGGTAATGACTGTCCACACAAGGCAGAAGTTGTACCACTTCTCTCCACAGTGGAAGAGAGGTCCACCGAGGGTAAGAAGGGCTGACACCACTCTGCAGAGGTGGAAAGCACCGTCAAGAGTATGTGTGCACCTGGGCATCACCTCTGCCATGCAGGCAGTAGGAGGACCAGGGACTAACTGCTCTGCCCTAGTGGAGAAGTCTGGGGACTTCTCATAACCACCAACGCTGGCATGCTGTTTTATAAACACATGGTTCTGAGAGGTAAGCACAGGCTCCTGCAAGCAAAGGGCATGTGGAGGAACACTTCAGGGGCAAGGAGGTACTGGAGTGTGTCTCTGTGTGTTGGAGGATTAGCTCACTGACGAGATCACTAATCATGCATCCAAGCCTTACAGTCAGCAGGGAGAAGTGTGGGCCCCTTGAGGCCCCATCCAGAAGCAAGCCAGTGGGTTGTTCCCCTGCAACCCCTGTGGCCTCTCTTCCCTGGGCTTCATCTTCTGCCACTACATGACTATCACAGATAAGTTGGATGAGTCACTTGCTTTCACGGAACCTTCTAGCCCTGACATGCCGTGAACTCCAAATTCACCAAACCCAAGGAACACTGCATAGGACCAGGCAGGGGGCTTTAGAAGCTTCTCTGACTCCAGCCCTCTGATCCATGGCTGTGGGCTTAGGCAGAAGAATGGGTATAGGGCAGGGAGGGACAACATTCTCTGAGGGTTATATCCTACCTACCAACTCCATCCTAAATTTTGAACCAAAGACGCTTTCCTATTTCAGACTGGGCTTTCACCCTAGACAAAAAGTAAATATTCAACTAAGTTATTTGTGGTTGAGATCAAGACAAGTTCTGATACCCTCAAAACAGGAGACCCTTGGTGTAAGCCCTGGTCTGTTGTGTAGGTGCCAAGATTCTACAAAACGTATGTCAGCTCTCAGAATCTCGGCTTCTATAAAGTGGAAATGATTCCTACCTGGAAGGGTTACCTGGAGTTCATGAGATGATACACATTTAGCATCTGGCCTATTGCCCAGAACATAGTATAGACTCATTTAAAATACTAGTTTCCCAACTCTACCAACAGGTGTCAGACAGGAAGTCAGTACTCAACGGTGGGTGCCTTGTGCAGGATACGCAGATGGCTGGTGTGGCCTTACCTTGACTTCCTCCAAAGCCGATAGAGACTCTGTGGGACTCTGTCCCAATCTCCCAGTAGACACCTTGAACCGTGACACCTGCTTTGAACGACAACAGACACATGAGGCTCGAAGGCCAATTCTCAGGAGGAGACCAGCTGCCCGGGCAGCGGCCACGCTCATTTCCGCGGGATCCCCAAGCCACGGCAGGGTTTCCACATCTCCAGCAGGAAGGACTCCACGGGGCTGGGGGCCATCGTCCCAGCAGGGCTTTTGTCCCGCACGCTCCTCCCGAAGCCCCTGGCCTGGGCTGGGGGATGGTGGGCTTGACCTTTGCCCCGCACAGTCCCAAGGGGTCGGGGCCTGCAAGGGAGGCCAGAGCGAGTGGGTCTGCGGCTTCCACCGGCCAACATCGCGGGGCTCGCCCGGTCAGCGGCCTCTTCCCCAGCCGGAGAGGCAGGACCTGGGTCGAGGCCTTTGCCCGCCTCCCTCCTTCCATCAGGACCGGAAGCGGATGGAATTGGAAGCGAAGCCTTCACACCCCAGGCCGCAGGGCGGGAAGCCGGCTGAGCTGAGCAGATTTCCTCCCCAAGGGGTGGCAGCAGGCGGGGACGCTGTGCAAAGATGGGACTGACCTAGGCACCGTCAAGGGCACGCACACAAATTCCCCCGACTGCCTTTCTAGTTTGGTTCCTCGCCTCAGCCCGGCCTCGAGCAACAGCTGCAACAGTAAAAACCCGCGGGGGAGACAGCAGCGCCGCGCAGCCTGCCGGGAATCGTACTCCTTCCGGGCCGTAGGCGACCAGAGGATCGGCTCGGCCACCACAAGTTCCGGACTCCAAGCCCCATGGGCCCTTGTGCGGGCGGCGGCCCTCGCTTCCCCCCCCACTATCTTGAGTGGACACAGGGCCTGCCAATATTCTAATTTACGTCCGTGGTTAGCTAGGGTGAGCAAGATGGGCCCGCCCCCCCAATTGGGGGCATGCGTCTTCGTGAACACGAGGTCGGCCCGGGGGCGGGGCCTAAGCGGAGGGATCCCGGCGGCGGCGGAGGTGACGGGCCACCGCCTGTTGCCGCCATCTTGGGTTGAGAGAAGCCGCGCAGGGACTCGCTGTGCTGCGAGACCTGTTCCGCGCGCAGAGGTAGGGTGAGCAAGATGGGCCCGCCCCCCCAATTGGGGGCATGCGTCTTCGTGAACACGAGGTCGGCCCGGGGGCGGGGCCTAAGCGGAGGGATCCCGGCGGCGGCGGAGGTGACGGGCCACCGCCTGTTGCCGCCATCTTGGGTTGAGAGAAGCCGCGCAGGGACTCGCTGTGCTGCGAGACCTGTTCCGCGCGCAGAGGGGGAGGCGCGAGAGGACCGGAGCGGATTGGATGCGGAGAGCTGCGGCGGAGGATTCCGGGACATCTGTGTCACTGAATCCCGAGCCCTAACTTTCACTGAAACTTCCCCAGCCATGGCGGCCCAGGGGGAAACGGCGAGTCGGGTGTCGCGTTTGCGAGGCTGTATCACCTTCCCGGTTTGGAGAACTTTGTTTTTCAAGCTAAACCACGTCACTAGGGCTCCTCTTGGTCGGCCCGGAAGCTTCAGCCTGGGTGTTCGGATGGACTTGGCGCTGTGGCGTCAGGGGCCTGCTGCGACCGTCAGCTCGGCCTCGTCCCAGCTGTCGGCTTCGCAGTGAGGGAAGATTCTGTGAAGTGCGCGCATTGAGTTGCAGATTAAACCATTTTGTTTCCCGCCGTTTGAACTCTAATCCAGAGAGGCCTGTGGCTCTGGGGTGTCTTCAGAAACAGTTTTGTCGCCACAATGTCGATTAAAGCTAAGTCCTAGGAGGCCCTGAAGAAGGAGGGTACTCTGGGGATGTAGGTCTGCGGGCATCGCGAAGCCCTGCGTCGGATCCCAGGACGGGGAAAAGTAGTAGCGGGGAAAGGTGCCTGGGCAGGGAGCTTCTCTGGGTGTCTTCCGGTGAATCTCGTTACCAGCCACAGATGTCAAATCGTTCCTAAGCCTTTGGCCCTAAGAGCGGGAACCTTGAGTCTCTACACTGATGTGCTGCCCTTCCTGTTAATAAAGTCGTTTTCACAAACTGAGTGATAACTCCGTAGCTTTCACCATTTTGTCTCTCCAACCTTCAGATGTTCTCAGAGGGAAATCTCAAAAATAAACTCGACATCAACTATGGTTCCTCTCCCAAAGTTTGAACCATTTTCTCTTAACCAGAGCTTGGGTGGACTTGATCCATCCTGCAGATAGATTTTGGCACGGCAACTTCACAGGGAGACCAACTAGGTGGAGGGGGCGGGCCATGGAAACCTTAGCTCACTGCTCAGAGACCCCTGGGGGCTCTGGCTAAGATTTCTCCCCTGCAGCCTATTTTCCAAATACAATGAGATGAGTTAGAAAAAGCTGAGCTAATTTAGCAGGAGGCAGGTAAAACAATCACAGGAGCTGAAAGGGGTTTTACGGATAATTTTGGTGATTTTTTTTTTCACGAGTTTATTGGAGGAGGATGCTGGACTGATTCATCCTCCGTTGTGAAGTAATCCAGCTAAGCCTTTGGATATTCTATGTGGCAATACCACACCAGGTGCAGAAGTGTGCTACTCTTTTATAAATGAAAGTTTACTGTTTATAAGGTTAACCCAGAAGATTTTGCATTTCTTGATAAGAAAAGTTGTGACTAAAACTAGTTTGTCAGTGGAAGTGAAAAACTCAAGTTCTGGCTCTGTGGGTACTGCCCCTTTGTTGGCTTGGCCAGAGGCCAGATCCTGAAGGTGAGGCCAGACTGGTCATTTGTTGGGTCTGTCGTTCAATTTATGTTGAACCTTCAGCTTCCTCATGTGCAGTCCCCTTGCAGATGGTTGCTTTGTGCCTTAGGACAAATTCTACAAGCCCTGCCTGCCTGATTCCCTGATTCCTGATTTGAAAATAGTATCTGTGAGGCCTCCCTCGTAAATAGCTCCAGTAGCTGTGTAAACATTTACTCCCTCTAACTTCGTGGTTTGGGAACTTTACAACTTCTCCTCCTAAACTCTTAGGGCAGCAGGGAGGAGGCACAGAGTGGCCATCCAAGCAGGCTGTGTGCCCTCAGCCTCAGGGTACAACGCAATTCCCAGTTCACATTTCCCTGGTCCAGTAGGAGCAGAATCAATGGACAGGAGGAGTCTTCTTTGTTGTAGTTTTTTTTTCCACCCAGTACTGGGACTGAACCCAGGCCCGTGCATGTTAGGCACATGTTCTATCGCTAAGCTATAGCTCTTTTTTTTTTTTTAACTTTATTTTTTATTCCACAGTACCAAAAAAATTCTTTTTGGTGGTACTGGGGATCAAACTCACTCAACTTTGTTCCTAGGATTTGGGGTTTGAATTTGAGATCCGCCTTCCTCAGTCACACAAATAGCTAGAATTAGAATCCTGTGTCACTGTACCTGGCAAGAGTGACTCTTTGTAGCAGTCTTCTTCAGGGTGAAGATAACTTGCTTTTGAACTATTCACTGCCCAGTTAATCAATGTTTTTGTGCCTGTACTGAGCTGCCACTGTCTTCTCTCTTCTTTATCTTGTTTTGGGTTTTTTTTTTGGGGGGGGTACCAGGGATCAAAGTTGGGACTTTGCACTTGCCAAGCAGGAGGCGGAACCACTGAGCTCAATCCCCTGCTATCTTGGTCCCCCCCCCATCTTGTTTTAAATTACTGAAACGTTGTACACTTTGTCAGTTACACTTTATTCATTTTGGGGATTTTTGAGACAAGTTCTCAGCACGTAGTTCAAACTGGCCTTGAACTTGCTGTGAAGTCCAGGCTGACCTTGAATTTGAGAGTCTCCTGCCTCAGCCTCCAAAGTGCTGGGATTACAAGTGTGCCCCACCATGCCTGGCCCAGTACCCTTTTGGTAAAAACTACATGGGAAGACAGAACTAGCCTATTAGATAATCCTTCCCAACTCAAATTTGCTTCTTTGCCTTTGCCTGAAAGTTGTACTGAAAGTTAGCCAGGTAGCCAGGCGTGGTGGTGCACACCTGTAATCCCAGCACTTGGGAGGCTTGAGGCAGGAGGGTCGCTGGGAGTTCGAGATCAGCCTGGGCTACATAGTGAGTTCCAGATCAGACTCAACTACATAGTGAGACCCTGTCTCAAAAAACCAAAAAAAAAAAAAAAAAAAAAAAAGCCAGGTATGCAGAATTATATGTATAAAGCAGGCTTCAGAATTCAAATTTCCTGTGGAGGTGAGTATAAGTTTAAATTACACAACTTTTAAAAATTTTTAAAAAGTAAAAAAAAAAAGAAATTACACAGTTTGCAGGTCAAGTCCTCCTGCCATTTCTCCAGACTCTGATTTTCAGAGCACTTAAGAGTTCCCACTTTTTCAGGAAGCTTCTCTATGTTTATCGCAGACCTGGGCCCTTTAGCTCTTCAGAGTTGTAGCTGTGGTTTCAGTCTGCCATTCCCTTCCCAATTTTCACTCTTTGTTTTTTTGAGTTTTTTTGGTGGTGGTGTTGTTTATTTACTTGTTTTTGGTTCTTTGAGATGCTCTCAGTGTAGTCCAGGCTGACCTCTAACTGGTGATGATTCTCCTGTCTCAGCCTCCGTAGCTTTGGGATTACAGGTGTGGACCACCATGGCAATTTTCACTCTTCTTGAAAAGAAAAAAAAAAAGAATAAGCCCAACATAACTGCTTTTGATACTGTGCTGAGGGAATGGTCACATTAGCTATTTCAAGACTTACTGATATTTCCTGCAGTGGCTCAGGCCTTTGAGTTCTGTTGGCAGGCAGAAGTTGATTAGTGGGTTACAGGATTATTCCTGCAGTTTCCTGAGTGCTTACATCAATGTCATACAGACCCTTCTCTCAAATATAAACTAAGAGAAAGTTTATTTGGGAAGATTTGTAAGTGCTAAGTTATTGATTCATCTAAAAATCCACCTTCTTTTTTCTTTTTTCCCAGCAAGAACTGGAATGGTAAGCTTTCCAGTATTCAAGATGGTTGGCAAAAATCGGCCAAAGATTCACTCTGCCTCCTGGATCAAATATTTTATTCCAGTTGGAAAGTATAACTCATTATACTGCAGTCCTCAGTCCTGTCGCGTTCAGGGTCTGAATCTGACTTTTGTGGGTAGTGGGGGTAGTCTAGGGATTGAATTTAAGGCTTTTACACCAAGCTACATACATCTCTAGACCATTTTTTAATTTTTAATTTTGTCACAGGATTTTATTTAATTGTTCAGGCTTGGCTCAAATTTGTGATCCTCCTACCTCAGCATCCCAGGATGCTAGGATTACAGGCTTGCATTACCATGCTTCATTACTTTATTTATTTTATTGTTGTTATGCTGTTTTTTTTACATCAGATATGTTTTTTTGTTTTGTTCTTAGTTCCTTTGTTGTTGCTGTTGTTTGAGATGAGGTCCCACCATGTAGTTCAGGCTTTGAACTTGTACCAATCTTCCTACTTTTAGCCTCCCAGAGTGCTAGTACAGGTGCACACTACCATGGCCAGCAGGCTTCCTTATTTTAAAATTACTTTTTTGGCCAGGGAATTAGCTCAGTGGTAGAGCCAAGATTTTTTTTTTTTAATTTACAGGGTTTTTAAATTTTTTTTAAATTAAAAATTCATGCGTGTAACTCCAGCACTCTTGGCAACATCAGTGATTTAGCAAGGCTCTGTCTCAAAAGGGGCAGGGGAATGTAGCTCAGTGCAAAAGTCCTGGGTTCACTTCCCACTCCTACAAAAAAATAACAATAATACAGTAAAACCTTGGTTTGGGAGCATTATTTGTCCTGGAAACATGCTTGTAATCCAAAAGCACTTATATATCAAA